GAAATTGAAAATTTGACTCCTTATACTTGGAACAAATGAGCTGCTTCACTTGATTATAATACAAATTGGATGTACTTATATTACGTTAATAATATGAGGATGCTTGACAAGTTTTGATGAAATTTTTAAAACACGTATTCGTAACTAAAATTAAGTTAGATTTAATTTCAGTTCTGTTAATAAAAAGCTGCCTTATAAAGTCTTTCTAGTATAGGTGAGATATTTTTAAATTAAAATAGGTATTTCTCAAAAAATATATATATTTAAATTTAAAAACTCGTTTATTAATTTTAAGTCATCTTATTACCGTCGAAATACCAATTTGAGTGTTTAAAATTACAATGAACCATTTAGTTTTTGATTAATATAAAGAAGGAAAATAAATAAAAAATTAAGTATCCGATTGTTATGAGAAAAGAATATTATTAAGAAATACGTCTAAGTAAGACGTATATAGACTTATTTATAATTTTTAACTTATTGCTACTTAATATAATAATAGCAATAATGTTAGAGATTTAAAATTTATAATCGGAATCAATATCATTTTTAGACATTTTTAAAAATACAAGAAATGATGTTCCATTATTATTTAGCACGTAATATATATTATTAATATAAGAAAGATAATTATTATGGATTGCAAATGTCCTTAAAATTGCTTCGAAGTAAGGGACACATGTTGACTGAGACAACGAAAGTAATGACAATTTTTATGTCAAATTCGCATAAGGTATTGATACCATACGACTAAAGACCACATGATACCTTCATTGGACGTATTGCAAATAATTGACATCATAAAACAACTTTTAATTTCACTAAAAGATGCAACAAAAAAAAGACGGAAAAACATAAAAGGTTAAACAAAACAATAGCTTATTATATGTTTGATAATAATTAAGAAGCAATCAATATCAATTAACATTGAAGTACCAAATTTGTGGTGGATTTGATTCCTGTACGATAATGTTACCGGGAATGAGTTCGACAATCTGTTAAGATTGGTTCAGTGGCTCGATAAGGAGTGATGGTTTTTATTTGGTTTGGAATCTTCAGTGCTCTCTTACCATAAGAAATATCGACAAAAACTACATTAACAGAACAATACATTGCCATATAGTATTTATATACTTATATTTTTTTAGGTCGTAATCCTTAAAAAGATTTTAAGAAATTCTGTCAAGGACATAACAGGCATTTTTTTAAATAAAATTTGCCTTATCCGACGAAAGCAATGTCTAACTTGATAGATATGTTAAGAATGTTTAAACTGCTTTTTATATGTAAAAAATATATTTTTAGTCTCTATTACGATGTCTTCGAATTAATTTATGAATAATAATTATACTCTTATCTGAATAATATTAAAAAATTATTAGATTTATACATCTTGACCTTTCTTGAGTTTGATAATTGAATAAAAATATATGTTATGCAGTAACTATTTCGTTGTATTTCATTACAGATAAGATATAACAAATTCTGTATCTAGAATTAATAAACAAAAAATATATAAATAACATATTTTTTTGAACTATTTATACATATATATTGTAAATAGTCTCTGTGGCATATTTTTGTGTTTCATGTAAACACGTCACACTAACGGGCCACGTGTTTTATAACACAGTGTTCATGTTATGCGTTATCTTATCAGTGATTAGACATCGATCAACACTGTCCACGGATTAAGATAACGAGATTTGTTCAGATTATACATTCGTATACACTTTGGGGTGTATTGTTGCATTTTATATATATACACACACACTCACACACGCACACACACAGATATACAAATACTCTCAATTATACATATATGTCTAGATTTAGGTTAATGTTTGCAACAATACAAATAAACTTTGAAGTAGAATCAATGAATAGTTGAAACTCAAACGAACAATTAATTTTCCTTTCCTTTTTTCGTGTATGGAACATTTTTTTGCTTAATAAAACACTGAGTATTAATATAAAATATAATGTTAAGTCTAGTTTCTACTAGATCTAGTTTTTTTATAGTAATTAAACGAAGTTTTTCTGTTTCTTTCTCCGTATTTCATATTAGAACACTTGTACGTTTTAATGTTATTATCTAAGATACTCACCTTGCGAAATTCTTAAAACAAATATATATATGTAAACTAATTAATCATTAAAAAATTCATATAATTACTTATCCGAACATTTAAGTATTTCTCCGTAACAGGGACATAAACAAAGGTCAATACAAGGCCGTTACAAGAGCTCGTCAGAAACATAACTGTCATATAAAAAAATCGGTTAAGGGCGAAGTACTATCTATTACACACACACACACACACACATAGGTACATACATACATACATATACAAATATATAAACCAACTGTATTTAGGTATATGTATGTGTGTGTTTTTGTTGCTAAAAATAACATATTAATTCATTTGAATACTTAATCCCTAATTGGAGGGTAGAACGAAAAAACTGTGGTCGATGATGCAATTAGTGTTTAATATAATTTATATGTGTTTCATCTCATTTAACTGATACGCTTATTAATAGTTACGAGAACTGCATTCTGATGATGATGAATAATTCCTAGATCCATCTGCCGTCCGTAGATGGTGTGGCATACCACAACACACCACCACATGCTGCCACGTACCACCACATACGACGTACACCTGTTATAATTAACATTGTTAATTATATGTTAAATTAAATTCAAATTTGTTTATCCCACGATTATGGTCAACTTAGAACTTAAATGCATACGACTTCTTTTTAATTAACGTTTATTTTTTTTTATATATTTAATTATAAAAATGTTGCCATTTCAATATCCGAGCCGTTGGTTGTGAGCGCGTGTTTAATGTATTGTAAATATTACATTGGCATTTCATTGTACAACTATAAATATTTTTATAACTACATCAGTTTAACGTTTATCCGACTACGTGGCAATAAATGTTATGTCATCTTGAATCTCTACGTTTCATTACGTAATTACGGTCACGTGAACCCAATTGACCGTGTCAATGGTCATCGAAAAAAAAACTATCAAATCGAAGTTACCCTTGATTTGGGGTAAACACGTCCGAGTAGGGTAAACTGATTGAGACTCATCCAATTACGACCCTCTTAGCTTAGATTGGGTAACTATTACATATACGATATTTTTTTTTTTTTTTTTTTTTTTTTTTTTTTTTTTTTTTTTTTTGTTATCCTTGGGAAAAATGCATTTACGCATCCCCGCCATTTTTAGAAAACAGCGGGGTATGTGGGACTCGTTGCCACTACCCACTAAAAACCCAAGGGTGTTCCACGACGGCCCTTGTGTCGGGGCGGGGGATCGCTTTCGCACTCCCACCAGCTTCCCCGACAGGCTGGCCCGCATTCTGGGGGCCCTTCTTCTTTTGGGGGCCACTGGTACCGCCCCCCCCTCATGTGGTGCTCTTTTCCACGCACGTGACCTCGGGAGTTGCATGGGGAACACAACCATGCAACTCCCTTTACCGTTTAGCGCGGGTTGGGGTCCGCGCCACGGGCCATTTTCATGGCGGCCTCAAATCGTCGCGGGCGTCTCTGCGGCGGCGCCCAGCACGGTGTCTGCGAGAGGGGAGGGAAGATGAGGCTTCCCTCACCCTACCGGCCTGCTCCTTCGCGGACATTACCGCCTCGCAGAAGGCGACCGCGGCGTCCCAGGCCGACTCACGCCGCACCATGCACCACACCATGTGGTGCAGTGATAAGGCCCCAGCCTCCATTGCCCCAACTAGGTCACGGCGCTGCTCCGCCCATGCTGGGCACACCTCCAAGGTGTGCTGCGCCGTGTCCTCGGGGCAATCCGCACAATGGTGGCATGCCGGAGATTCCTCCCGCCCTATTCGACACAGGTACTTCCCAAAGCAACCATGCCCTGAGAGTACCTGTGTTAGGCGGAAGGAGAGGCCACCATGCTGTCTCTGCAGCCACTCCGACATGACGGGCCTTACCGCCGCTATCGTGGCGTGTCCCGCATTTGGCGTCTCGAGCCGCTCGTACCACTCCGCTATGGACAGCAACACCAGCTCTTTTCTGCGCGCCTCGACCGCTCTAGGCATGACCACCGCGCCTCTCTCCAGCACTTCCCCGCGCCACCTGTACAGCTGTGCGAGAAGCTTAGCCTCCAGGTCCCATGGTGGGGATCCGGCGAGTAGGGTTGCAGCCTCGAAGGAGACCGTGCGGTACCCTCTTATGGCCCTAATGGCCATCATCCTCTGCGAAGTCCGCAGCAGGGCTACGTTTTTGGACCGCAGATCTTCCGCCCAAACAGGGGCTCCATAGAGGGCCATCGATCGTACGACCCCCATGTAAAGCCTCCTGCAGGAGCCGCTTGGTCCCCCCAACATATACGATATTAAACACCTCACATATTAGGGGAAGCTTGAAATGAATTTAGTCATACATACTTTGTTAGTACAAAAAATCTTTTATTAATAATGCAACTATGAACTATGTATATAATAAAACATATTATATTTAATATAATAAATATTATTTTGGTACAGTTCCATAATAAAGGCCGTGTAAGAAGGTGTTACATTATATCCGGACCATTGGTTCTTTTGAGGGCACGTGAACGAATTAACGACAGCGGAAACAATTCGATTGGTTATGTCAATTATTAGTATAGATGGTTTGTTGAGAACACGGGACGAGATTTATTATAGGAAACTGTGCACTTATGTAGTTAAATTATTTTTATATATCAACTAGCTTTTACCCGCAGCTTCGTCCGCGTGGAGTTCGGTTATATCGCGTTTCCAAGAGAACCTTTCAAAAGTCTAGGATAAAAACTATCCTATGTTCTTTCTCAAGGTCGACTCTATGTCTGTACCAAATTTCATTAAATCAGTTCAGTGGTTTAGGCATGAAAGCGTAACAGACAGACAGACAGAGTTACTTTCGCATTTATAATATTAGTAGGGATATATTATAATGATTATTTTATATATATGATATATGTTTGTTCTCAGGACAAGTCTGGCGAGCCTTACTCCGGCAAGTTATCGGTGAAGTCCGATCTAAGTCCTGTTTTTGGTGAGTATTATCACATCTTAAGATACGTCTCAAGATAAATTTAACTGTAGAGGATTTACTGTACGATCTGTTATCATTATACTTACAAGTCAAATTGTGAAGTTTCTATTTATAGATTATGTTTAGTACACAAAAAATATTAATGAAATATTTGAGATTTATTTAGTACGACTAAATTCAAAAACTCAAAAAAAAAAATGTTAAAGTACTTAAGCTTTCAATAGCTATTTATTGTTCTTTAAAATATTCTAAGGATATTTATTTTTCTATCTTTTATAAACTTGTCTGTATACCAAAGACTTTTCTTTTTCATACAACTTCATTATATTCTAATATTTTCCATACTTAAAAAAAAATATATAATCCTTTTTTAATGTAATCACAGATAGTAATTTTGTTATCTTTATACAATTGCGATTCCAGTGAAATTAATATATATTTATAATCATTATCAGTCCTTTAAAAAAACGTTATCAGTGAATTTAAATTCAGATAACTTTGTAAATTAGTGTTAAAATAAACGCTATTAAGACCCTTATAATTTAATGTTTCAACTTATAACTCACATCATTTATATTCCTAAGAGGAATTCAAATTCTTTAATTTTCCATAACGAGTCGGATTTAAATTATATTGGTTACTAGCTTTCCGCCCGCAGCTTCGCCCGCTTGGAGTTCGGTTATATCGCGTTGAAAGAGAACTTTTCAAAAGTCTGGGTTAAAAACTATCCTATGTTCTTTCTCGAAGTCAACTCTATCTCTGTACCAAATTTCATTAAAATCAGTTCAGTGGTTTAGGCGTGAAAGCGTAACAGACACACAGACAGAGTTAGTTTCGCATTTATAATATTAGTAGGGATTTAATTAACATTTTATATTTCTCGATACATGCTTGGTTTTAATGGAGCTGGATTTTGTTTTAGATGATTTATATTAAGAAAAACAAAAATCATTCAAGACTTATTGTGTCTTATCAATAAGACATAATCTATTAGTTATCTCAAGATATAATTTAATATACATTGGAATGTTCCTAACAAGTTCCTAATATTAACAAATACTCAGATTACTCTTATAAATATTATTTTAATCCAACATAATATGTTGAAAGAATAATATAATTTCAATCGTGAATCACACGTAAGGTGTATTAAGACCCGGCAGCATCACTATTACCTGACTTGTGTGTTTTATCGTCATCTTTATAATCATCTGTCACTATCGTTACAATATTTTCGTATAATTTCATCCGACTCCGCCTCCGTTTTAGTGATGGGTGTACGTCGATAAATATTATATCGATTATATTTTTTTCATTTCTATATATTCTTTATATGGGTTCCTATTCTCGTGTTAAAAATATAGTGTTGTATGTATCGATATTAAATCAATCGATATCAGCGCATCACTAACTGGTTCCGACTGGCTCGTTATTTGTTGTTATTAGTGTGTTTTTTTTGTTATTTTTTTTGACCCGGGATGTTTTCGAGGAACCGGTTCAGTTCTAATCTGATCAGCCTGCCACGACTCGAGCCAAAACGAAAAAATACGACCGTATTGGAGGGTTAATGTATTTCATGGGAAGATGTGCTCTATGTTGAACAATGTTTTGATTTACAGATCGAGAGTTAAATGCTCGAGAGATGTGCTTTTAGAGATAAGAAAAATAATCTTAATTCTTAATATAACACTACGAAAATACATGCCCAATAAATAACTTCACCAATAATTGCATATAAATCTTTCTTCAAATTCAATACAAATTAGATTTTTTTCTAAAACAAACAGTAGGTGAAACTGGTTTCGCATAAAATACATAATTAGATGCTTCTCAAAATCCCATTGTTATTTTAAACTGTATAATTAATATTGTGGATGTTTGAGCCTCGTTTGATGGGCTTGTATCATAACCGACTTCAGAAAAAGATTGGATGTTATAAATTATATGTATGTCTGTGTGTTCGCGTATAGCTCTTCATTCGTATATAATTAATTAATTGTAAACATATGATCGTTTTGTCAGATCAACTTACTAGTTGGATTATTATTTAATAGTTCTTTAAATAGATTTTTTTAATATATTATATAATTTATGTTACTTTCCTTCACGTGGAGATCTTTAATTCTTTATCTCATACATATAATAATATTGTAAACAAGTAACACATCTTAAGTATCAACATTAGCCCCGAGGCGTATCCGATGTATAATTCCACTACAATAACTGATGCTTGTCATTCATCTCTTTCTGTCTCATATATATTATCTTCTATCTCCCTCGCACAGCCGTTCCTTTAAGACCATTTCATCCAGGTTCTAATTGGAACTTGATACGTTACACAATTAAGGCTCGGATTAATGAGCTTCTTCTTGTCGCTAACTGACGGACGGACATACATTTATACATCTGTACATATAATTAGTATTAATTGTATGAGATAGTTAAAGATGCCATCTCTGGATACAGCTGTAATGTAACCTTTTGATGTATTAATATTCAATAGTTATTTATTTAAATAACATTTTATGTCTCCATAATTTTGATAGCAAAAAGATAAATAATTTGTAAACAAACTGATAAAACATACTAATTTAATGTCACACATGTAGTAGAATGAATTCTTGTATAGTATTAATATAGTTTAATTCCTTGTATATTCGTTCCCGTGAATATGCCGATATAATATTATAAGACAGGTTTCCATATTATCAAGTAAGCATCATCAATCATTCTCGTAAAAAGCGTGATGTTTATTCAAATTTATATGTGATTCTGTCGCGAATTTTATATATATATATTTTTTTATTCAACCGTGAATAATTTAACAGATAACATAGTAATCTGTCCGGATCTTGCAGCATCCTAAACAAATAACTTCATAGCTGGTCATTCGACTCAGGTAGTTTTAGACAAACCGTGACTCATTGTTCAACCAGTCTTTGTTTTCTCAGATGCTATATATTATATTACTTTAAACTAACCCAAAATATTTAATTATATATAAATAATATTTAATATTTTAATATACTTTTTCAAATATTAAAATAAAAATAATATTTGTTACTTCAAATATATTATAAAATAATTTTATAATATAATACTTAATAGATTTATGTTTTATATGTTTTTATAATTTATATCATTATTTAAATCATATAACGAGCTCGCTAATATCCATAGTACATTAGCAACTTGTTCCGCCAGAGGCGTCGTTCGTACCGTTTTGCCTGTCAACAGGTTTATACAAAAGCCTTAACCAGAGAGAACCAATAAATAATCTTTTACTTCTGAATATACTGGAATTCCAGCTGTAATATATAGCTACTTTAAATATAACTAGCTTTCCGCCCGCAGCTTCGCACGCGTGGAGTTCGGTTATATCGCGTTTAAAAGAGAACCTTTCAAAAGTCTGGGATAAAAACTATCCTATGTTCTCTCTCAAGGTCAACTCTATATCTGTACCAAATGTCATTAAAATCAGTTCAGTGGTTTAGGCGTGAAAGCGTATGTAAGTAAGCGTAAGTTAGTAGGGATAAAACTTTAATAATAATTCACAATCAATTCAACCATTGATCATTTCAACATATATCTCAAAGGATGTCAATAACATTACCTTCTTATCCGCCAGCGTCCGATCCCCGGTAGCCAAACACGGTGTAACTTTAACAGCACACACTCAAAAACCTGTGCACACACCTCGTTACACAGTCGGTCAATATTGATTTAGGTCTAGACCCACCACGATATTCTTAGAAGACGTACGATCATAAGTTAGTCATGCACAATTTGATATAACTATTGCTTACTATTACAACAAATTCCGCGAAAAACGATCTTCATTTATCGATATTTCTAATTAACACGCCTGTAATCATATTAATTACTCCATTTTTTAATAGCATTTAACTATAGTAGTTATGTACATTGAACATTGTTTTTCATTTGATATTAATTACAAAAGTATATGTTTCATGTATAATAATGAAAATATTACAAATCATATTTCTGTACATTTATAATACTAAAATATTAACTAATTGAAACAGGAATAAATTTTATATAAATATAACGAATCTGTCATGTCATATTGTTCTAAGTAATTCGTTATCATATACTGATCATCTTTATCATAAATCATATCGTATCATACATATCATTATCATGTAACAAAAATTCAAATCGATGTTTCTTTTGGTAAGTGATTTTGATAATTGCATTTTATCGAAAAGTTGTGCAATTTTTCCATGCAATGATTTCTTGCGAATTAATAAATGTTATTTGGCAAAATAACGATGTCGGTGTTTCATTGTATTTAAATATGTAAACTTTGATATAATATTAAAGAACACACATGTTTAATAGTAATTTTAATTGTCATATGAATTAAATATTACACGAAACAATACGTCTTAGACTAAATTAAAAGACTCCAAACTTCAAAGTAATAATACACAGGCTTTATCTGTATGTAAGTTTATTTTATTTCAACTATAATTATTAAATTGTACGCTTACAACGTGTGCATCACTTAACTACAGACTATCAAGTTTTCATTCACAGAACTTCGCATACGATCGTATTATGACGCGGACTAAGGTTAGAGAAGATCTTAGTATTAGTAAAAGTCGAGTTAGTTTAAGTTCAATATCTAAAGATATTATAATATTTTTGTTTCTCATTCTAATCTATAACAATATAAATTTTCAGTAAACGTTTGAACAGACGAAGCTGTATCAACCAACTAGTTTATCTAGTAACATGATATTCTTCCACATTTACAATATATTTTATATTGTAACAGAACAATAAAATATAATATTATATATATATATTTTATTATATTAATAAAACACATGAATGTCCGTCGTGTAGCTAGCTTTAATTGACACTCGATACAGAGCCAGCCACTGAATAAAAATATATATCTTGGAAAGACCAATAAAACTTTTGTTTTGATGACGCTCGACCAATTTACAATAAGATAAAGGCGAAGTATTTTTTGTATTTCGATGCGTTTTGGTATATTTTTTTACCTAATTATTATAGGTAGTTGAAGTTTGTATGAAAAATTTTTTTTTTCATTTTTCATGTTATTTTTACTATAATGACAATTTTTGTATTGACCATTAGTAAATACTTTGGTTCAGTCTTATTTACGCATACTGTCACGTATCATATATAAGACGAGTACAATAGGTAAAGGATTTTTTGATAATTTTAGAAAAACTATATTTTCAATGTATTTCTTATATATGTATGTCCTTTAATTACGTTAAAGTTTGTTGACCAAAATAATAATTTACAAAAAGATTTATCATTTGGTATGAATCATGTTTTTTATTTAAAATATAATATTTTATAATGATATACATACATAATCTAGGATTTTATTTTAGTTACGAAGCCAGAGTGGCACGAACAATTAAACATACACATGACTGCCTTAATTTCATTTAACCCACAGATGTTAACCAAAGTTTAGAAACTTCTAGACATTAAACTCTTTCTGAATTCTGTATTTTAAATCTCGACATAAACTACGGTGATCCTACCACGCTTTAATTACAAAGAAATTCATTATGCATGCGTGTTTGTATGTTTGTTACTATTTAATTACTGAACTGAGATTTCATAAATGATATGCAATTATATATAAGAAATCAATCTTATATATAATGTATACTCCACCTTTGGATACAGACTTGTAGAATATATTCCTAGATATTTATAATGCTGGTACTCATGTTGTATGTATGTTTCAGGTAAATTCGAGCCGCACCCAGCGGCCGGCTTCAACATGGGGTACCTCATGGCGCCTTACCCCTACCCTAATGGGGGGGCTCACCCCCTACCTGTGTCCATGGTAAGTATCACATATTATCAGAAAACTTATATATATATGTAGGGGAGAGTCGGATATATCGTACCACTTTTCATTTTAACGCAAATATTTCGACTATAACACGTCTTATAATAATTAATACATATGTAAAATAAAGGTTCATATTTTAGCTTCCTAAGAAGAAGAGAACAGATCCTTGCGATTATTCTAACATTGTTAAAAATGCTTCTTATAGAGGCTTGCCATCGGTACGATTTAGCCGACTAGTCGTTTTAATCGTACCACTAAGTCTTTAAATCGTACCATGGGTGTTTAAGTCGTACCACTGAATGAAAGACATTAAAATTCTCAATCAAATTATTTATTTTTAACTGTTAGGTAAGTAATAAAACAACATTATTTATATCTTTTAGGTATTAGAAACAATTTTTAACTCTTTGGTTATATACAGAAACTATAAGCTTTCTCAGTAAAATAACATAATTATACTATGATAATGAGATCAATCAACATAACTTATAAAAATGAGACAAAAAAAAAAAACAGTAAACTATAATAATAAAGTAACAGTTAACAAGAATGTTATTTGTAATATAATTATTGTGCATACTTCTTAATGGAAATCATGACAAATGTCTGGATTCGAAGTAGGTACATGTCTCATGTAGCCACCGTTTACAGCGAACGCATTGAATCCAATCAACTTTTGGACCCTTCTTTTCATAGTAAGAACAATTGCACTTTCGACATATATTTTCAAGATAATCATCGCTGTCATCATCATCATCTAGTTCTACAACAAGTGTCTCTCCTGAATCATCGCTACTGGTGATGGAATGAGATCGTTTCCTCTTATAACTTTTGTTTTTGGCCTTGGGTAGTACTTACTATGCGTACTTGCAGTAGTACTATAGGTACTTGCGGTTGGTAGTCGGGTAAATCGTTCCAGTACAATTTAACCAACTGCAAGTGGTACGATTAAAGCAACTAAGGCATTTCTAAAACAAAAGCAAATATCCGGCATAAACTCAAAACTTAGACACGCAACAAAAACCCCCAATAATCTAGTATACAATTGTGGAATAATAAAAAAAACTGAATAACTATAGCTTACCTTGATTACGAGTTATCTCCTTACGAATGTACGACAATATTATATTAATTTCTTTAAAAAAAAATTCCTTTAATACGTGCACAGTTGTTAACTCTCGTCGATTTAAACTAGTGGGTGAAGAGGGATGGTACAGGGCCACGATTTGGCGTTGTCAGAGTAGAAAAAAATATTCATTAAATGGGAAATTTAGAAGTGGTACGATTTAAATGCTAGTACGATATAACAAACTCTCCCCTATATATAAAAGAAAGTCGTGTTTGTTACACTATTTCTAACTCAAGAACGGCTGTAGGGATATAGTTGAAAATTGGTGGAGAGATAGATTAGAATCAGAAGACGGACATGGGATATTTAATTCTGTTTCAACGGAAAAAAACATATATAATTAATTCCTATATCTGGTTCTTTATGGCCTCTAGGACCAAATAGAATTAACGCGGACGAAGTCGCAGGAAAAATCTAGTATGTATATAATATATACTACGTTATTATCATTCAATGACTTACTGATTAAACCTGCTAACAGTGTAATCTGTCCTGATTACGTCATCACTGACCAGACCTTAGTAATGGCTGGTAATGAGACTAATTACTGAAAGTGTTAACGTCTTAAACGATGCACTTACAGTGATGTTCGTGTATTAACATCTTACATATAGACATACATATCAATTGTTCACGAATTAAAAGATTGATTTGTACTATTTTTATATTTATTATTAGAACAAAATTTTTTTTATCCAACTGTAGTAAAGAGTGTTATGTTATTATCATATGTTACATGACTTCTAGTTTCCATGTATAACATATCTATAGTATCTTTATTTCAAGTCTTCCTTATCTGTGACATGTAATGTTTTTTCAGTTTATTTATATTCGAAGATGTTATTGAATATAGATATTTGAAGTATTTTGATAACTTATTTAAAATATATTGATTTATTATTATTATTTTAGAAATATATAATAAATATAATATTTGAGTGATAACATTACACACTTACATATATGCAATATACAAGTTCTGACCATTTCTTACGTTCGAAATAATTAAATCATTTTTTTTGATATATGAAAAAAAACTACAATAATTTTAATTTCTTAACACATCAGCTATTTGATAAAAACATTCCGTCAAAATCGCTCCAAACGTAATGAAATTTCAAATACATTTACGAAATATATATATAAGATATTTTTAATTCTGTGAACATTATAAAATATCCAACATAAATAAGTTTATATTAAATAATTATTCCAATTGGAATAAAAATATGGTGTAAGCTCATGTAGAGCATCTTTCATCATCATCTGATGTAGAGCATCTTTAACGAAAATCTCTAGTCCTACAAGTTGCTATGGAATCCGATCTTGTAGTTCTGTTCCCACTATAACTAACTAATCTCTCTTTACCTTCTCACTGATAGTATCATCGTATTATATATTACAAACTGGAAACGCTACGTATTTAGTTTCTGTTAAATCATGTATTAAAATATTCACGTCTTCAATTTCTTATAAGATTTTCTGGTGAATGATTGAAGTATTGTGCAGCAGTATCGTATAATTCTTCAAAGTTCAGCCTTTATATCGGATATATTATAGTTTTTAGTGTAAAAAGAAATCTATGTCGATCTAAATGTTTTAAGTTCATTAACCTTACCACAAGTTTGACGAACTAAATATTTAAAGTTTCCCGTTTTTTTATTCAAATATCATATATCAGACATATTCATAGTTGATCATTTATACATAAAAGGTATAAAAACCATATGTCAATATAGTTCTCATAGTAAACATTTTTTCCACATCAGAACACAAATTTGTCCGTAATATAATAAGTTAGTATTCCTATTAGATTATTTCCTCGTAATAACGACCACGTGTCCGGGATCGAACCCCGGACCGCCGGAAACTCTAACACAAACATTTTTATTTCTGTCTTAGGGATGAGCATTACATATCGTTATAGGAAAACAGACCTTAATATCCAAAAAATAAGACTTATTTTACATTGCTTGAAATATATACTGGTGATTGAATAAATAAAACAAAGTTTCTTTTTAAAATTTTTTCGTTAAATGTTAAATTTAATCGAAAATTTGTATTCAATATTATCGTTTCACATCCCTAAAGGCTTAAAGTTCCGTGTAATAATATCGGTGGCGTCAGTTTGTGGAACATTTTTAATTACAAAAATGCCAATGTTCTAGAATTTGTTCATTAAAATATTAATTATAACATTTTGATCGTGTACGCCGCCATTACGTGTCATGCGATAATGTTTAAATTTTTTAATCGATATCAATCGATAGGATATCGTGTGCGCCCCGAAGACGGAAAACTGACAAAAGAAAATGTATTTCAAACAGCAACAGGTGTATGTATGTCCGTCTCATTCTTGTGTATGTTTTAAGTCGTATCCACCCCCGTCGCCGCCTCCATGGGGCGGGAAATATAAACGAAGGAGGGGATGAATTTTCTTTTTTTCTTTCCTTCACGGCTTTTGTCTGGGTGAATGCGGCCAGCAATTTCGGGGTCGCTTACGTTCCGTGCCGACTGCGGATTTGAAAATGGAATGTTTTATTCTGTTACAAATTTGGAACGATTTTTTTATGTTTCGAATGTCAAATGATTTTATTTTATGATTCAAAATTCGAACGATTTTTTTATGATTCATATTTCGTATTTTCCTTTTTATGATTCAAATTTCGACCGTTTTTTTTGACGATCTTCCGAATTGGAATTACTACTTAGAACTCAAAAGAGTTCGAACTAATAGTGGAATCCTATAAGTTTATTTATTATAAGTAAATACTATACCATCTTTTATCAATAGGTATTAACTATTAAGTCATTGTAATAGTAATTTTCCACAAATCAATAGCTCTTCAATAATATATTAATTATACATAATATATTCAATTACCATTTGTTAACACTGATTCATAGAAATGCTTGAGTTTTACGATATTTAATGCAACAGTATTTTAATACCTATTCAACGTATTTAAATACTTCTTGAATAATTAAAATATTTCTTTATAATAAAAAAAATACACTGAATTTAATATTTTAATTTTATTCACATTTAGTTCTGTCTTATGTCTTTCCTTTATCTTAAATTGACTGTACGTAGAGACCAATTATAAGATATCAACCCGCCATATCGCTGGCACGTAGTGTCGTGAGCGATCACCCAGATGACTCTATCTAGAGTCGTGCCCCATAGAGATCACTGGATAAAGATTTTTTTCATTTTAATCTTACGGAACTCTTCATGTGAGGAAACATCTCGGATTAGACTTGCTGTATTAACATAATTATTCGTTTTTTTTTAAAGAAACCTCGCATAACACAAAACAAATATATTTATTGTTAAACTCACATATGATTAATTGGATCGGATTTTCCATGTATTACTGTACAATTAAGGTAAATAAGTTAATATTACACATACGACTTGTGCTGAAATATTTACCAAATATCCCTAAATCTCAAAACTGTTCATCGACCAATTAAAAACAGAATAATAAATTATATTCATACGAAAAAAAAAATTGAAAATAGAAAATTCGCACAGAATTTCCGCTGTACAATTTATTACAGGCACTTCATCCTGTAAGCGAAATATCAAAGCATTTCGTTAACGCACATAATATCAATAAAACCCGCTCCGTTATAATTCTCCATCTATTTCAAAACACGTAATAATTCCATTCCATTTTCGAATAATTAAAGATATCCAAATTCTAAATTTAAAATCGTAATTGGTTCCATTCCGTGACGTCAGCGGCGTCGTTCGATCGATCCAAAAAGAACATTCTAATATCGAGTCTGGAATCCTCAATCCCGGTCCATAATTCCTCCGTCCCGGTAAATCATTACACACGCCCCGGTAATTCGGATTTCGAGAGACCCTCCTCTCCCCTATCCACCCTCTCGCTGCATCTCATTTTCAAATACCGTACAACTAAGACCCGATAGCCGATGTCACATCCGAATATCGACTCTAATGTGTACGTATTAAAGCACCTTTCACGTACAGTTGTATTTCAGTATCAATATTAGTGCTATGCGGATGTGGACTGTATTGTTCGTTGTTAGAGTTAGAATTCGTTTGTATTGTAATAGCGTAGGGTAGACTGGGGTGAGTCGAACATAGGGGAGGGTATCCTCTCTTTATTTTTTTGGTGAATTTTTTATTTAAGAAAGGGATAAGATTTTAATGTGGCCGCTCGCTGCCTTTATTACACCAGATAGCAAGAGACTCCATTGTTGGGAGTCTTGATGCGTATGGGGTTTCCGCTTAAAGTATTTTGTATGGAGATAGTACACTTTCTGTTATAACGTTTTTCGGTACTTATATTTCTCGTGGAGGGTCTTACGGCTCGAGTTTAACCTTTTTTTGTTTGACCTCATATCGTATTGATGTTAAATATACTTAATGCGTTATTAAAATTCTTATTAGAATTTAAACTTTATAAGAATGTACTGATAGATATTATTGATGATTCCTCCCATCACACCTTAACATTTTAAACACAAATTACTAGATTTCAAATATCTTATCAAGACTATATTTTTCTAACAAGAATTTTAAAGTAGGTGAGTGAACAAAGCCGCGCTATATGTAACATCAACATAGCATAATAAGAATATATAACAAAAGAACAATTAAATATAAAATCCTATATACATATATATTATAAGATGTTTTCTTAGAATCTAATTCCCGAGTCTAATATTTCACGTCTTTGTTTAAATGAACCACGGCCATTGTTCTGTAGGTTAAAATATTACTGGATGCTTTTAACTTTTAACTATTGTTTGTGAATTATTTATATATATATATATATATATATATATATATATATATATATATATATATATATATATATATATATATATATGTATGTATATGTTTAATATATTCGTGTGTCCGACGCCGGAAACAGAGTTACGTACCGCGGCTCCGTCTGCCCTTGAACCTGAAAACAATGGACTTGATTCAATGAAATGATTGTACCATTTCGATTTGTGATTGATTGATGACGTCACACTATCAGCTGGTACGATTAAAATATATGTCAATAGGAGATTTCCTCTTATTTCAATCATGAGGTAAATTGAATTGAAAATTTAATTTGGCAATATAAATATATATATATATGTATGTATATCATAGTAAATATTTATTTATCTTCGTTTTTTATTTACAAGTCCGTAATTAATTTTATGACGTAAGTTTAATAAATTATTTTAAATTATTCTTTCTTTTCAACAACTTTATTTAATTATGACAGTAATACAAATACATTATACATATGCGTTTATATAATGTATGTGTTAATGTAAGCATGTCTATCTATTTGTTACAGTGAAGTACTAAATTACTGAAACTATTCTATCTGAAATAACAAACGATTTATGGAATATATTTCTAATTTATTTTGTACTTATTATTACACATAGATGAAGGCTTACATATACAGTGTGACTGGTGAATTATTATCGATACTTGAGGACGTGATATTTGACGATCATATATGACAAAATAAGAATTAATATTACATAAGTATTAATAAACTTCTAAGTAAAGTTAACCAAAAGTTATGTAATTAATTACGCATCGTGTGAACACCCTACGGATTAGGTATACACACACACTCACACGCGTGCGGCGGCGTAGTGTTGTATCAGCACGCCGCCGCACGCGTCCACACTTGGAACGTGTTCACACTTTATTTATTTATACGGAAATTTGGTCAAAAATTAAGTACCTATTTTTTTTACATAATTCGAATGAGAATCATGTACCGAGTATTCTCCTTAAATATTGATAGTAATTCACCAGTCACCCTGTATATATATATTTAAAAGATATATGTTTAAAAGTAATGTTAGTAAAGTCTTAATATATCCTCTTATATATCGTACAAGTATAACCAAGTCATAATTCATACCGGGGGTGAGGGTAATACCTTTAAAAGCTTTGTCAGACTTCGTTCTGGTACAGACGTGAAAAAAGTTGACATATACATATGTATTATATTATATATTAGTATTTCAATTATAATTTAAAACGAAATATTGAATAAAAATTACTGTTATAATCTAACAAGATGATCATATATTTCGTGTAAAATAGGTAATTTAAAATTTTTTTTTGTCTTAAATATCACACACGCCTTCTATTCAAATATATCTCTTAAACAATGCAGTACAAACTTTAATATTATTGAATTACTTAAAATATCATAATTTTTCTTCATATAAGACATTGAACATGTATCTGCCTATTCTTAATATAATAGTATATGTTCTTGTTACCAACATTTCATTCCCGTACACAGTACTGTAAGTATGTTACAGCACACAACTCGTTTACTGCCACTAGTGCATTTTCGCTTGAATAAGATCATACAAGTCCATCCCTACCTGGTAATTGCCTAGAAAGTCCTATTTTCAACTCTCCCGCCACCCACTCCCCACACATCGAACGATACATGTACATACTAATCTACTCTCTATGTATATACCATCAAAGCTTATATTGCTATAAAGATTTATGTCTCGTCGCCGTCTGTACGTGCAACATGTATGAAACTACAAAGGATATTCGTCTCTATGTAGTAAGTAATAAGAGTCACCCGCACCACACCGGCTATGTTATTGTGTTAGAGTTGCTTCGTTTTCAGTTTCATATTTGAATTTTGGTATAATAAGATTTGTATGCTTAATGCTGGATTTTGGAATCGTGAAAGCTTTTAGATAAAATATTTGAAATTTTTTTTATAGAACATCGTTTATATAAATTCTAAAGGTTTTAATGTATTAATATAAATATACATTTTTATTGCTCTATAAAACGCGGTTAAAATTAAACATAAAATATTCAATTGATTAAACAATTATAATGGCAACATTCTAGTAAACATCAAATTAATGTCGTTAATGAGGAGCGCGTAATAAATACAAATTATAGTACAATTAATGTTATTTAAATAATGATAGGACCTGCCTGCTCCATACAATATAAATATATTACAACAGACAATCGTCCAAGTGCCGTATTAACCCATCACACCCTCAATGAGCATTCAATTTCACACAAGTGTTGCCATAAACGAAAATATTAAATCCAATTTACTTACCCCTAATATTAACCCTCGATTATCCACTTGGAAATATAAATTATGACTATTATAACCTCTTATGAGCTATTGTATTTTAATCGGCGCCAGTCAGTTACCCCGATGTTTGCGAGTACAATACATACATACAAAAAATAACCGATTTTATGGCAGGTTAAACTCATAATGCGCGGGGATTATGTTATGACTTATATTTCTATGGAAGGGGATGGTAAAAAGTTATTTGACACTGTATCATGCGGTGTACCCTAATTATGGACCAGCTTTATAACACCCTATTATATATTTTAATACTTGAAATATCATCTTATTTCTTTGAAGATATTATATTCTTATTAATATATTTATTATGTACCCTAAGTATATTTATCATCCAAAATCAAAGGCTACCCAATGGATATTTTAATGTTATGGTCCACAAAGAGGATTACGTCCATGCCATTTTCTATATCTTAATATAATTCAGACTTTCCTCTTAATATAATTCAGACTTTCCTTCTAGCTGTTATGTTACTATTTATTATTAATCCCCTTATATCTCCTCTAGTTTCATTCTAACTCTATGTTTCTTGTACAGTTAATATTTCAGTATCGGTACTGAAATTACCGATGAGTTTACCGACTACGTTATTTGCTCACAAATACTCAATTACGTAAACAAGGGAATGAAAATATGAAAAAAAATGGTGAGCTGTTTAAGCCGACAATGTAATTCGAATGAAAACAACACACCATTAGCTGAACCGCATTTGCTAAACAAGCGAACTTTTCCCACAAAACGTGGCTTTAACGTTAATATTTAAGAGGTTATTGTTTGAGTAATTGCTCGCTTCTCGAAATAACCTAATGGGTGTACATAGAATGTAAAAATCGATTCACCCATATTTGTTGTTAATTATAGCCGGTTGAGTCTTTCCGCCTCTGCAGCTTCGAATGTGATTTGATACCCTCCCCGCCCCCCCGCTCCCCCCGGTCCTCCCTGGTCCAATTACAGAGTTCTCAAAGTCCCCCCACTCGCCCCCTTATTTTTAGATGAAGCCTCGTTTTAACGACCACTCCAGCCTCCGATGTTCATTTGTCGCTGTGTTTTTTGCGTACGATTATTTTCGCATTTCTCCACCGCCATGTAGCCGCCGTGATTGAAGCACTGTGAATGGTTAGCTTTTCACGATCGAGTAGCTTTTCTTATAATTTTCGTACAAAAGAAATATACTTTGCCCCCCAAGGGTCGCTTCCGCTCGACTTGCTCGGAGTTACGTAATAATCGGTAATATTCATGATGGAACGGCTTACTCGTGTAGGTATACCTACCTACCTTTGTATAACATCATAATAAAATATATATAAATAATATTATTTAAATATAATCTCATATTTTCCGTGTAATTATTTAAAAGCAGTGCACCCCATATTAAAAATTTGTCCCCATTAATGGAAGCCGGCGAGGGGTTCCTTTGTGTGTCGTACGGAATCCTGTAATTTTATGATTCTGCAGTTTGCCCCGCTATATTTTTTTGTGTTGTATTAATTGTGCAGGGTATATTAAATATGAATTACATTTAGTTGTAAACAATATTCAATGGTCCGTCGTTTGAACGAAACTGTGTGGTTAATAAAATAGATTTAATCAATTTTCATACAAAAATTGTGACTAGTATATCAATTATATATATGTTTCTATATGACTATATACTGTGCTATATTAAAATAATCGCCAATTCACATATAACCAAACTATGATTACCGTTCAAAGGACGTATATTTCGCTATTTGTCAACAAACAGACAACTCTCTTGACACAAGTTAAACAAATAGATCGAAATAACATAAGACTTAATACAAATACTGATCTTCATACACAAACACTATATTGAGAACTGGCCGCGTCGAGCCTTCCCATCGGTTGCAAATACATTTCAAACAAAACACACTACATTGATCTTAAAACATATATAAATAGAATCTAAAATCCCATATCAATGTCGTATAGTTTTTAGAAGTAAAATTTTTGTAAACGTCTGCACGACATGTGTCATCACATAACGTCAATGGAGGGATTATGATAACCATCGTACGGATGGCATCCAGCCTGGGGAATCACCCTTTGAGATCTGGGCAGCCTGCGAGACAATAGAAAACAACTCGACCGTACACACGACCTAATATATACTCTAACTCACAAGCAATACAGTCGTTATTCACTCAGCACCACAAGTGTGCCGCTGGGGTGATTCTGAAAAGACAATTTAACCCTAAAAAATGGCACTAACATTAATCCGTATGTAATATCGTCGAATTTGTCATCGGCCCGGAGCCCATCTGTCATGAGGACCACTATTAGCATCCATTAGACACGCTGTACAGAGATGAATGATCACCCACTTGCTAAGACAAAACCGATGAGTACTTGATTGGATTCGGTGCACTACGCTGATGACATTATTACTATATATATTATACCTATATTTATAATGATTATAATTGATAAAATTTCAATAGAATTTTACTAATTCGACTGTAATAAAAACAGTTTTCGTGTCATCAATTTAATAGGATTTAACATTTCGTACCTATAAAAACATTACCGATATATCTAAGCTAATGTTTAAAATCTACTCAGATCTCATAAAAAAATCATTCAAATCTCAACAGATTTTAAATAACAATAAAATATTAATGAATATTAAATTCCTTATAATAAATATCAATAACAGATGACAATTATCTGTGTGCCCCTCGCGAGCATCGCCCTAACATTATAACAATATATATTCGTGTATGAATTGCCCTTTCGCTGTTACTCAATTGCCAGTGTCAGGGGTAAAGTCGGGTAATAAAACATGTATTGCACCGATCAGGCACGCGCGCGTCTTCAGGTGACAAGCATTGTATAGAACCATCTGATGGAACTAATGTATTGAGATTGAAATTACGTTCAAAACAGATAATATTGACTAAGAGCTGAGAGTATTATTATGTCATTTTGCGTTTAATGAAAATGAAAGAAAATACATGTCTTATATGAATACTAGCTTTCCGCCCCCGGCTTCGACCGCGTGGAGTCCGGTTATATCGCGTTTCCAAGAGAACCTTTCAAAAGTCTAGGATAAAATCTATCCTTTGTCTTTCTCAAAGTCAACTCTATCTCTGTACCAAATTTCTTTGAAATCAGTTCAGTGGTTTAGGCGTGAAAGCGTAACAGACAGACAGACAGAGGTACTTTCGCATTTATAATATTCATAGTCTTAAAACAATCAGATAAACATAACTGGTATGTATAATAATTAAATTTAAATACATACTATAAAAAATATTCACTAATAAATTCAAATACAGAACTAGCTTTTTTTAAAGTCGGTTATACAATATTTTTTTACCAGTAATGCATAGTACAGAATCGGATCTGCGTTGTTAAGTCTCGCGACATGTGTGATGGGCGTGCGAACATCGTGTGTAATTATATGTCCAGTACATGCAGCTTGTTGTTCAACTTATCCGAGATTAAAAATGGTTTATAAAGAATTAATCAATATTATTAACTATAATATAGGAGAAAAATCGAACAATTATGTTAGAATAATTATTATGTGTACATATATTTAAAATGATCAACAAATCCGGAGTATAATGCTAGTTAATGTGTAAATATTAACTCTATATCAAACTGACGTCTGTGATAGTCAAGTAGGGAAAAGGAAGTCGGAAACAATGATCGTGTGATAGGAATAGATTATAGAGAAAACTTAAATCATAAAATTTTTTTTAGAGGTATGTATTTTAAACGGTTACAGTAAAAGAGGTTCTGTGTTTAACCATAATGTTTGTATGTCCGATGATTTATCATAAACTTAGTAAGTTTTATTTACTTATATTATAGTTATGTATGATCAAGCTGCGTCATATATTATACTAATTATATTCGCCAAACATTTGAACCGCTAGTCATACTATATTAAGCTGGGACCACACACAACTAATTATCTATTTTCTAAAGATAGTACATACAGCCGCTATATCCGCTAGACGAAAAACAAGCGCCCGCTGAATAATGATGCAATGAATAATAAGATATACAGGGTGACTGGTGAATTACTATCAATATTTAAGGAGAATACTCGGTACATGATTCTCATTCGAATTATGTAAAAAAAATAGGCACTTAATTTTTGACAAAATTTCCGTATAAATAAATAAAGTGTGTACACGTTCCAAGTGTTCCAAGTGTGGACGCGCGCGGCGGCGTGCTGATACAACACCACGCCCCTTCACGCGTATGTGTGAGTGTGTGTGTATACCTAATCTGTAGGATGTTCACACGATGCGTAATTAATTACACAACTTTTGGTTAACTTTACTTAGAAGTTTATTAATATTTATGTTATATTAATTTTTATTTTGTCATATATGATCGTCAAATATCACGTCCTCAAGTATCGATAGTAATTCACCAGTCACCCTGTATATACACTTATATTAAAAATAAAAAATATATAATTTAGATTAAAAAAATATTTTAATAATCTAAAACAACGGTTTCATTGCAGGGAAATTAAAAATAAAAATTCAAAAAAATCGTCCCCTTTCATAACTATTAGATTGTTTTGTTAACGCTCACTCCTAAACAATAGTTTTATTCTGTGGCCGCGCTTAAGAAAACTAATTGCTATTCTTATAATAAAATGAGAAAATATCTTTTTAAATAATACATTATATAAAACGTACTTCTTTAAACTTTTTAGTAAGAAGAAATAAATTTTTTGCATTCATTTTAAATATCATTAAAGTTATCTTAAGAACACTCTTAAGACTACCTTTGACTAGTAACAGTACCTATAAAAATAAGAATACAATCCTTATCTTAGCCGATTGTACAGTTTACACATACATACATGCACACACACACACACACAGACAAACATACACATACATACACACATGTTAATTACTCACAACAGTATGTCCACAGCTTTATGTTATTTATTCTTAAACCAGACATAACGTCGCCGGTCGGATTAAAAATATGGACTTCCGATGTATTGTATGTTTTAATCTGTCTGTCTGTCTGTTACATTACAATATATGACTGCAATTAATTTATAATGACTTTGAAGTAACTAATGTTCTACCGTCTAAACTAATTAATAAACCCGATGTTTTTGAAACAAAAGAGTAGGTGTTAATTTTTTTTAACCCTTTCGTCTATGGTCACTCGAAAGTACAAAAAAAAGGTTTGATACGGAATTTAATTTGAACTGACCCAATATATGTATAATCTTGCGTTTATTGAAATGGCTATAACAAAAAGTATTCAATACTAATAAATTCAAGTTTTTGTTATACAAATCTTCTCACATGATAACATCTATGAAGATATATGAATGAAAAACTAGAAAAAGTCTAAGAGTAAAGTTGTGGAATTACATTAACTTATTCACCATATCTTTTCATAAACGTGATTTTTCTAGTAAAGTGATAATATTTTTGAAAATTAAATATCAATATTATTGCTATCGTAATTAAGGTTCACTTTTGCTTGTAGATTGTATTAGGTATTATAAACACGTATTTACTAATTAATTCTTTATTTCCTACTAACCTAATGACTTTACTAAATAGATATCGAGTGACGCGATTAGTATATATATATGAGTGATTTTTTTCTCAGTATTACACACATAAAAATATCTATATATGTACAGATATCGTATATAAGATAAAAACATAGTACCTTCTACCTGGCAATTTCCCAGCTTTAGCCAGGGTCTGTCTTACATGTTGTGAATAGTTTTAGCTAATTGTTTTTTACGACCGGCCTTCCTGACATCAACGACGATCAAGTAATGTCTAAATACTCTAAGATAAGGATATAGTATGTTTAAGTAAAGTCATCGAACAGAACTAGTTTCTTTATAAATCGATACCTCAGTCTCACATCCCAGTCACCTACATAGTCAGTCGTCACCTATATCTCTTAAACCTTGTGCCGCTTTCCTAAATCCAGTATTTAAGTCTCAGACTGAGTCTAGCTGTGAATAT